TCCTGGTAGGGGAGCATCGTATCGACAGATGAACGCTCGGTTTGGCCCAGTAGGCCCTCGCGGTGCAGTCAACCATGAAGGAGAGCTGGCCGGATTGATCCGGTTAAGAGACGGCGCTCTGCAGCGGCTGGGCGTCCGCCGAGACTCGGTGTTCAGTCATTTAATCTGAGCTGAGAGCAGCAGGGGGCCCCTGGAGGGAGGGAAGGAAATCTGAACGGGGCTCTGCATTAAACTGTTTCATCACATTGTCTGTTGTGGTCCATATGTGGTCCATATTGTCATTGCAGGAAATGTTGAAACAAAGCAGACCACAGAATAAACAAGAGTCATATATATACAGTTTCTGCAAATATGGCTCAGTTCATTTAAACAAGCATATTTATGTTGCATATTTTGAATATAATAAAGTATTTTCTGGGACAGCAGTGTAAAGATTTATCATCCTGTGGGTTCCTTCTATCGGTTTGTGCAGTATACTTTGAAATGGAGGGAAATTATTTAACCCTTGTGATGTCTTGCGGGTCAAAACAGACCCATTACCATGTTTATCTGTAGAAAAAATACCCTAAATTATCTATTTCTGGCTTGAAATTTTATGACTTTTCCTAAATTGACCCTGTCATGAGAAAAAATGATACTTTGTTTTTGTTTATTTTTCCAAATGAGTTGTATACCACTAGGGTACGGTACAAAAATTGTCTTTTGGGTCATTTTTGACCTGTGCATTTTAGAGGCATTAAAGCACCAGAAAAATAGTTCAAAGGCCATACACAAACTCTGTCTAATACATACACACATACATCAAATAAACTGGATTGATGTATGAATTGAACTTGCATTTGACCTGCACCTGGACTATCAATGTGCAATTAACCCCTCACATCACACGTTCCCAAACACAACAGAAAACTATATCAGACATAATAAAAACAAGTCATCTGGAGATCCAGATGAAGAACATCTGGATCACAGTAAAGTGAGAATAAAGTTTTCTGAAATCTTCTAGAACTTATTGTTCACCTCTGGAGACATACAATGGGCTTTTCCTTGTAATACAAACACACACACACACCGACACACAGCCAGTCTTCTGAGACTCCCACCTGCTCCGGATGTCCATCCTTTTTTGTGCTGTTCTTACATAAGCCATGTATTCACTGCCAGCTTCCAGTAAAATCCTTGAGTGAAATGTAAACACTGACCTGAATAAAGACATGTTTTCTACCACTGTTGCCATTATTGAACATCACTACATCACTTCCCTAAAGCCACCCAGAATCCACGTGGGTCGCTTAACTCAACTTACCATCACTGAAACAGCTGCTTGTTTCCAGGAATGTTTTTTTTTTTTTTTTTTTTTACAGTACTCCATCCCTGTCTCCATAAGGGTTTTGGATGCTGAAGCTTTCTGAAACATTTGGGTCTGTTAGAAGTGGTTACATGTGAAGAGAAGCAAACAAGAAGTGACGCTCTGAAAAATCCCTGCTCGTCTGTTTAAGAGAAAACAAACACCCTGAATCAGTGGGTATGTCTGCATCACAGCGGATTTACAGAGCTGTCATCACTCACTGACTGAGGGGCTGTGTGTTATGAGAGCTTTCCTAACATATTATTTTCTGTTTATATGTTAATTAAATTGGAATTGCACCAAACACATGTTGAAATGTTACATTTTGAATTACATGTGTTAAGAACTTGGATGGGTGTGGATGCTTATTTTATATGCAGAGGAAACTTAGCTTCAGGATTCAATATGGCAGCATTAAATATAATAAATAAAATAACTGAAAAAAATTACTTATGTTAGATACCATGGCGTATTTTTGATTAAGAAAAAAAACATGCATCCACAAGACAAGTCGCAGGCCATAGAATATGATGTAGTAGGTCTGCCGGGCCAGTTGGTGGCACTGTAACACTGACAGAGAACCACATAAAAAATAAACAAAAGAAACACTCAAGGGCCCTGAGAGAGAAAGCTACTTGTAAGTGCATTAACCCCAATGATCCCTGGTTTAAAGGTCCAGTATGTCACTTTTATAAAAATTGTTTTACATATTTAAGTCAAAAAGTCGTGTCTCTATGAAATATAATTGATAATTTGTGGGAAGAAATGTATCTCCTCCACATTCTCCATGAGGTAATGTTGTCTGAAAACGTTCACCACTCCCAACCAAAAACAACCAATCAGAGCCAAGAGGTAGGCCTTTTGCGCTGTCAATGAACCTCGTGTACTTGCTGCTGAATATGCTAATAGCAAACAAACAACTTATCAATACAGAAAAATAATTTATCTGCTGTCATCGGTGCCCATGCTAACTAGCCTGAGTATTCACGATAGGCTCCGCTAGCCGTATCGTAGTAGAGAGCGAGGAGTGGAGGGGAGAATCTAGGCCGTCACACTTGATTGTGATTGACAGCGATAAGACCCGCCTCCTGGCTCTGATTAGTTATTTCGAGTCAGCATTGAGAGAAAGAAGAGGAGCTGGATTCTTTTTTCTTTTCTTTTTCCCACACAGATCATCTGTCTCATATCAAGCTGTCACAATATAGTGACAGCTTCCACCAAAATGTACATTTATAGGCTTTAATAAATGCTAATATAGATAGCATCTGTAAAACATTACCCTGTGGCTCTGTTATGTAACTCAGTGGAGCGTATCTGACAGTCAGAACACAAACAGCAGATTGGAACGTTTCAAACCTCTAGGATTTCTAACAACAAAGATAACAAGCTAGCAAATCATTCCCTAGCTGCTTCAAAAGACAAGTACAGTCCTCTTGACATTTCACTGCCTCATGCACAGTGCACACATAAACACAGATAAGGAGCAGGAAAACTGCCGCTAACTCCAGAGAGAACTCCAGCCACTGACCCTGTTACTTAATCAAGAGACGTCGAGCTTCTGACACTTTCTACATGTGGGGTCTTATCAGTGACCTGGACTCTGTTTAAGGGACAACAATGTTTATCCTCTCTGAGCCAAAAGATAGGAGGAGGCAGCGAAACCTCTCTGCAGGAAGAACAGCTGGCAGATCAGCGTGAGCTCAGCTGAATGCAATGTGTTATTTGTTGGAATGCTTCAATGCCGGCGTTGACCACGAGAACAGGGTCAGAAGCTCAAGGCTTCGGTTTCCATCCTCCCGATGAAACCTTATTGTGAGGCTTTTATTTCTGTAAGCCTCTGGAGACGGAGTCGGGTCATAAATGTGCCAGTTCAGCTACATTCCCCCCACTTTGTGAAGCGGAAGATAACAGCATTTTTTCGCATCTCGATGAAACCCTTTGTCATGCCATCTTGGAAAAAATGGCAGGTGATGTTATTCAGACAGAGCTGTCTGGTTATTGTTCCAATAGGTTCGAGCTTATTGTTCGTATCGGCAAACAAAATTCCCCAACACATACCAAAAAACAAAAAACAAGACACTTCCTCTGAAGTTTGTCCTTATAAGGAGCTGGCTTCTGGAGTGGACTCGCTTTTACATGAAGGGGAAAACAACCGCAGCCCAGCCAACATGAAGCCTGCCGTTGTTTATGAGCGCAGTCTGAAGTGGGGGAACGCCTCGCGGCCTTATCAGTGCGACTCAGCCCCGCTGCATGGGCCATGGGTCACCTCCAGTTGTAAACAAAGTTCAAGAAGCCCTCCTTGAGTATTTTTAGCCCTCTGCCGACTGGAAGGGAAAGATAAAAATCTTCTGAGGCCAAATTGGGAAGAGCAGAAAGCAAATGGCCTACTAAAAATGGCTCCCAAATGAAGTCCTGAAAGCAGGAGTTGTTTTCTGGAGATTTGTGAGAGCTGCATGCAACACAGAGCGCTGTGGGAGGAAATGAACTCCCACGAAGTAAACCTACCTTTAGGTCAGAAAACCTACATTTCTAAATGTGATTACATGTCCAGACTTCAACTAGGCCGTTCTAACACATGAACACAGTTCTCTGACTGTAAGTTTAAGGCAGTTTTTCTGCTTGGAGGCTGAACTTCTACCCCAATTGGACATTTTTTGCATCTATTGAAGTTTTAATGCCCTGTGTTTACCTCCATCTACCCTCCGAATGGTCCCTTCTCCACAGCATGATGCTGACACCAACTTATTTCAGACCGTCTTATGTTAGCTTTTAATTTGGTAACTTCTTCTGGGCTGTATTTTATTGGAGTAAAGGGAATATACATCCGCACTCGTCTTTACAATGTCACTCACACTCATGCTAAAGACAAAAACAATTCACCATGACAGTAAACTATTTATCCACCATGCTAACTAGCCTCAGCATTCATGGCAACTGTAGCGTAGCCGAGCGCAACAAGGACAGCATAAGTGGCGCCTACACAATCATGATTGACAGCACTTAAACTCTCCTCCTGCCTCTGATTGGTTGCTTCTGATCTAGAGTGATCTATCTCTGAGGATGGCTGTAGGACAGGAAGGGGGCAGAGGAGTAAGATTTAAACAGATTATCTGTCTGATAATATGTTGTCAGGATGATGTGACGCCTTTAACAAAAACGTGAAAACATCGCTGCACATTTAACAGTAATAATTTTACATGATGTCATTTTACATTTTATTTCCAATTCTGCTTTATTAATTTTATTTCTCATTTCATCATTTTTTTTCACATTCTGTATCTTTGCAATGCTGCTTTATGCATATATATGCATCGAAAATAAGAGTGAGTACTAGTGAGATTAAGTGCATACACATCCTCTGCTTTATTTATTTATTTTTTGTGCATTTATGATGTAAGAAATATTTTAAACAAACACGCTCATATTTAGCATGGCCATAAAACCCGCCTATTCAGACGGATTATATTTGGGGGTTTATGTATCTGTTTTTGCATGTTTTTGTTTTTTACTATTATTACTTTGTGTGCATATTTGTTTTAGAGCAGTGGTCGAAGTCCTGCTTCAGTTTTCACCACGCAGCTGTTTCTCTGACATCCATGCGAGCCGCGGGCGGCGCCAGCTCCGCTCCCTGACGGCTGATGTCACCGCTGAACGCGCGTCCTGCCGGAGCTCTGCCCACCGGCCGCCTATAAAAGCCAGAGCGCTGAGCTCCTCCGCACTCAGCCGCTTCCCGCTCTGAACCAGCTCCAGCCGCTCTGGCTCTCACACCGCGCACCCAGCAGCTCAGCATCGTCCGAGTTGGAGCGCCGCGTCCGGAAGCGAGAGCCGCGATGTCTTCCTACGTGTCCTCGGAGTCCCGGCGGGTCAGCCCCTCCGTCCACGGCAACAAATTCGACACGGCGCACCGCAAGAAGGCCGTGGCCAACATCTTCGAGAACGTGAACCAGGACTCGCTGATGAGGCTCTTCCAGAAAACGGGAGACATGAAGGCGGAGGAGAGGGTGCGGAGCATCTTCTACACGCAGGACCCGGAGGAGAGGGCCCGGGCGCTGATGGCGCTGAAGCAGCGGAAGAAGGACAAGTTCCTCCGGATCGCGGGGATGGTCCGGCAGCTGCTCAAGCTGCGTTGACTCCTCCACCCGGCTTTAACAGCCCGTGTCTCGATCTCTCGGCTCTGTGTTGAGCCAAGCGAGAAAACATTCCCGATGGGACTGGGGTTCTCCACCGCAGGCGGATGCCCGAGGAGGCGCCGCCGGGGCAGCGCCGCGGCAGCTGCGGCGTTACGCACGGAGGATCCGCCGGCAGCGGGGCCCTGCCTGGAGCAGGAGGGCCGCTCGAAGAACCAGGGAATCTGAAGGGAATACACGCCTTTCTTCAGACTAGAACTCATGCATGCATGCATTCATCCCTCCGTGGATGCGCTGGCTGGAGAACAGCATCCCTGCAGGTGCACGTCACCGTGTTGGTGATGGTGCAGCACAGCTGCAGCGGGAGACTTTATGGTGCCGAAGAACCTGCCTCTATACATGAATGCCTGTACTGAACACAAGCCTTTTCTCTGAACTTCATCTTGTTGTATGAACACTCCAAAAAATGTGAAGCCGCAGCGTGACAGCACAATGATTTTTTACTGATGTGACATTCCTTTGACTGTCCTTTTTCTAAAGAAATAAATCATTGCTTTGTACCGAGTCTTGTCTGTCATCATTAAACGCCTGTCTCCCAGCTTCCCTGCAGCCTCTTTTGCACAACCATCAGCTTTAGATTCTACAGTCTGGCTCTTCAGATTATGTTTGTAGAACTGCATTAAAAATCGTTGGAAACATGAAGCTGAAAAGTCAATAATTAGAGAGATTAAAAAAACAAACAAAAAAAACAACTCAAAAATTCTGATATGTTTGGTTGAATTTCAGAGAAACAAAAGAAAAACAAATCCTTGCATGACCTGTGTGTAAACCACCAGTAGGGAATCGCCCTGCACCAAACAGACTAAATCACTATAGTAACTCCAAATCGCTGTGGTAACCAGAAGCTGACTTATTGTGTTTAACATTAAGAACAAAGGGGACAGTCCACATGGTGAGACTCATGGTGCTGAGTCATGAAATCCATTCCTTGGAAAAAGAGAAGAAAGGAATAAAAAAAAACATCTGTGAGTTTATGTCTTCATTCTGACGCAGACGAAGACATTCATAGAGACAGTTACTCATGAGGAAGTGGTTAATATTTACTGGGCTTCCCCCGTACAGCGCCTCATGCAGCATGCCTCACCAGACCGGCACAAACCAGTCTGGCTCAGGTCGGCCAGGGCGGGGGGGAGCGGAGCATGTTTGCACTGGAGTCTCTTCAATAATCATCAGTGCTCTCCAGATAAGAGCAAGCTAAGGGGGAATTACAGGGCTTAGACGTGTTGAGGCTTTGGTTTGTCACCATCTGGTTCTTCACCATCCCACACAAAAGCAGAAATTACCCCTCCACAGCCAACAGCCAAGGCAGACACAAAAGCAACCCCGCATTTATGAAAACAAGACCTTTTGTGCTCCTGTTTCAACGAGTCGGTGTGTTGGGTGGCTTAACTGCAGACGCACAGATCAGCTAAGTGGATGCCTTGCTAATCTGCTTGCCTTGATAGTCCCGCTACCGGCTCAAACCGGTTTTGCTGGGCTTGCGGTGCACGATGACATCTGACTGCAGGCGCTTCTCACATGTGTGCAGAGTTACAGGAAAGCCCTATATCAGGTGAACTAAGGTGTGGAGGCTTCAGGTGGGAGTTTGGGAAGGAGTGCTACTGAGCTGATGCAATAAACATGTTAATCACCAAGATAGCTGCCCACAGTCGCATCGAAGTGTTAGTCATCTGCAATGCTGCAATGGTGATGATTTTCTTTTGTATAGAAAAAACATAGAAACAAGCTCTCCAGTCATTCAATTAATTTTTTTATTTAAATCAACAGTTTTATGACCAGACTGATGTTTTACCTCTGTGTTGTCCAGTACTTTTTATTTAAAAGGGATTTTTATTTGGTGGGGGGGATGGAAAGTTATAAAACTACAAGAACGTTTTTGTGTCCAGAGGTGTCTTCGTTCATTCTTCTCAGTAGAACAGAATAGAAATGACCTTTATTGTGTAGGTTCACACCAAGACACCGGAATAAAGAACAAGGTGCTGTACAGCAAGGACAACATTTCAAAATAAATACAGTGCCGTTATCTAGAATAGAGTATGCAGTTGAGTATCAGGTCAAAGTTCAAACTCAGATATCTTATCAATCATTTCCTAAAATCTTAAACCAGCACTGTTGTTACGTCCTGTTCTAGTTCCAAAGTTTTAGTAGATGTTAGTGTCCATCTCCATCTCTCAACATTAATGTTTAAGGACTCCTTTTATTTTTTACTACATGTTCAAAATGGACTAAAACAAAACACATTTGGCAGCATCAAAACATAAAATAAATCGACACAAAATGGGGTGATGCATGAACAGTCGCCTCACCCTCCTCATTCACCTCCATGTAAAAGAGAAATAAAACACGTGTGAAACGTGTTTTAAAGTTGTCACATAAATTCCATGGAAACTAATGTAACAAGTAAAAATCCATCTCAGTGGTTATCCACAGCCTTGGCAATTATATCAGAGTTTTATAAATCTAAATGATCCTTCAGTGCAGTTACCACCTTCGATGGGCACTCGCTTTTTAAACTTTAATTTATTTAATGTTTCTGCAAAAGCCCCAGAATTAGCAATGCTAATGGTTGCTCCTCTTTAGCGGTCCTGGCCTGTTACTGTTGTTCCCACAATTAACAAGAATCCAAGGAAGGCTAAATAAAGACTGTAAAATGTAAATATGAAGAACTGTTCAGTAAATTTTAAAACATCAAAGCTTTCTGTCTTTCTGCTAAGCTGGCTTTGCTTGCTTGGAGGCTAACAGCGTTGTCTCCTTTTGCACAGGCGAAAAAAACCCCGTCAGGGTTAAAGGTTTTTTTTCAGTTACTCTCTTCGTTTTTTTGATATTACATATATTCTCTTGCCAAGGAGTTTTCCCCCCCCAGCTTCCTTATCCTCTCAGCGCTATCCAGTTGTTTGGGAAACGAAAGATAAATATTCCAGGTTGCTGTCTGGGCCATCTTTCCCGTGCTGGCAGCAGTTTACAGCGTTGGATTGGAGTCTGTCCTCTCCCACCCTCTTCCTGCCTTTCATCAGACAGAGACGCGGCGAAGGCTTTCATGTGAGCAGGCGCCGCGGAGGACAGACCGAGCCTGGAGGACAGAACGCAAACGGAGAGCGGGGAGAAGATGCAGGATGTATAGCTTAGCGATGGAATTGGCCTACAAAAATAGCCTTGCAAAAGTTTTCGTAACGCTTTCAACTGTCCTAATTCTGTTAGGATACACCCCGAACTTTGATGTATTTTATTAGGATTTTATGTCATGCACACAGAGGAGCACATCACAGTCCAGTGGAGAAAAACAATAATTGATTTTACAACTGAAAATCTGAAAATGCACAGAAAGCTTTGCTGCAATCGCAGCTTACTTACTTGTCCATCTGTCACTCCACCAGGTTTTAGAAACATCTAGTTAAAGTAAAGACTTCAGCATTGTGACTTCACTGTTATTCTGGTCTATTTTGGCTTCTGATTTTCACAGAAACCTCTTGATTCTTTTCACAGGACAGCTGGATCTGTACTGTTTGCTTATAATGTGACTTCTGGAAATTGGTTGCCATGGATTTCATTTGGAGGCATCAGAAGAATGGGGACTGAGCTTCGAAAAGCTTTAAAACCACATGCTCCAGTCGTTTGACTTTGTGTCGGGTGTCACATAAAGTCCAAAGAGACCAAAACTTCAGCTAAATGGAAATGAAGACTTCTGAAGGCTTCATTTCTGCGTTTTTATGTCCGTGATTTTAAGACTTTTTGAGGATTCATGGAAACCCTGCAAGCGGAAGTCCAAGCTTGCTCTCCTTCAGGCATCCTCGTTTCTGTTTACCCAACTGCAGCTGATCCTGATGTTAAACAGGGATCAGCCTCACTTTATTGTCTGAGCTCTTTGCTTACAGAATCTGTCTTCGTTCTTTATTGTCCAACTTAGCCGGTATGTCTATTAGCCAATTCATCCACCAACAGCCGTGTTATATGACCAAGTATTGGAACAATGATGCTAATAAAAGCCAGATGACCTAATGAGCGAAAGGTCAAACAGAAAGTATCTTCTCTGCTTTACAAAGAAGTCTTGACAGAGGCTTCATTTCCTCCTCTTTTCTGAGGAACACTCAAGATTAAAGACGGCAGAGTTCCACATGAGTCAGAAAGCCGGTCACGGCGTCCCAGGAAACGCAGTTAACTGTTGTTTTTTATGTTTGGCTTGACGAGACAAGATACAGACAAAATGAGTGGTGGTGGATTAGTGATTACCAGCAGGGAGGGGCCGTGAACTCGGTTCCAGCTCAGACCGGTTCACCCAAACATCTGCAAAGAGGAACTGAACATCGGCTGCCCACACGGTCCACATTAGTCAGCGTTAAGTGGAACAGCAGAACAAAAAGTCTTTTAAAAAGTTAGCAGCTCTTGATTTAAGTTTTATTTGGATTTGACGAACTGGTTCGGGATGTGACATTTGGCTGCTGTCACATTAACAAAAGGCTCCTCCTGATTCTATGTTTAGGTTGTTTCTATCATTAATTCAGACAGGCTGCTGGATCCTTCCTGGTCACTGGCAGAAAAGCCACAAATGAGTCGCTGGAGATCTAATTTTAACTCGCAGCGTTGGTTTTGTTTTGAGAGGCTGTTTTAAACAAATCTTCAGCCGCCCCTCACCGCCTGATGGAAGCGCTTTGGAGATATGATTACAGCACCAGGATTTATTTGACTTACCACAAAGTGTTTGTAATTCGTCGTATCAATGGATTTCAAACAATGTTCAAAATAAAAACTATCTGAGAAAAGGGTTGATTTTCTGAAGGCGCCTGAGTCCGGGCCCTCGACCTGGAATACAACAAAACTTCATACTGAAGTTTTTTTTCCTTTTTCTGAAAAGTAGCTGAAGCGTAAAAAGCAGATTCAGATAAACCCACAAAGTAAAATTTTTTGTTAATGTGAGGCATTTTAACATTTTTGTGTTAAAAGAGCAAACATCCAGAGCAGCTGTAGAGTTTTAAACCCGTTCACATCCCGTCTCTGGTTTGAAATTCAAAGCAGACTATTAAAGTCCTATTTAATTAGAAAGTTATTGAAACGTTCATATGATTCAGCAACTGTTCACTAAGTGAAACACATTATAGAGACGAAATACACAAAGCAATATTTTTGTAAGCCTTCATTTCTGTCAGTTATAGTAGCATGCTTACAGCTTATGAAGAACAAAATACTTCATATGAGAATATCACAATAAAAACATTTGAATACAGAAGCGTCGGCTTTATGGCAGTTTGTTTGATTCCTGCTTACAGGTCGTTATTTGTAAAATGTGCTTTTCGTCTGACAGTCACGCTTCACCAGTCGACAATCTTCCCAGGCAGGTTTTTTTGTGAAGTGCCCCGAGATCACGTTTGACTTGGCTTTTCTTCGGCAGTGGAACCTTGCACACTGATTTCTTTCAGGGGGGAAATTGTACCTGCTTTTTCCGGATCTCTCTGAAGCTCTCTGTGAAGAGGTTCTGGAGCTCTGTGAAGAGGTTCTGGAGCTCTGTGAAGA